ATATATATATGTGTGTGTGCGTGTGTGTGTGTGTGTGTGTGTTTATGTGTATTTTTGTGTGTGTGTATGTACATGTGTATATATTCGTGTATGTAATTGAATGCATATGTATATATACATATCGTTATCTATCTAACTTATATATATATATACATCATATTGTACATTTGTATATATATGTTTATATATATATATATATATATATATACATATACATATACATATACATATACATATATGTATTGTGTATATGTGTATATACATATATGTATATATGTGTACACGTATACATATGTGCATATATATACTTACATAAATACCTGGCCTGGAATACGTGACATATCTTCTTAGCTAAATATCTATGTAGTTTCCGTTCTGTCGTAATGCGACTTCTTAGGACAGTATCCTGAGTTCCTGACCTCAATCGAACGTTCGAGTATATTGACTGTTGTTCGGACGTGCCAATATCCGTTATTGTGAAGTAGTTCCCGAGCCCCGACGGTCCTACAGACCACCAATCTACCACCTATGTTAATAAAATTCGTACAGTACATATGAATTATGTACATACTGTACATGTTGCTTTGGTTCTACAAAAAATTGAAAATACAATAAATATATAGAAATAGAAAATCTAATCCGCACAAGTGACACAGTAGAGTATCCGCACTCACAAGAAGAGTGATTAGTGATTACAATAAACATACTCTCAGTTTTGAGTTTTCCACCTGAATGAGTATTCACTCTATTCAGTAGTGTTACAGTGTTGAATTTTGCTCTTTTTAGACTTTATAGAGCTACTTAGAAATGCGGATAAAATAATGCACTCGCCTCCTTCGCAAATTTCGTACAAGAAGATCATAGTTTGTTTGCAACAATAATACATATGTACACTCTACTATACTTCACCGGCACCCTCTAAAAAAAATACCATTTCTATACCATTTCTATACGAAATAATTGGAATTTTGACCCAAAATTTGAACAGCGAGATCGGCAATGAGCTAAAGAAGCTATTAAGCCGTCGAAGAAAAAATTAGCTAAATTATGAGATGGGTGACCTATATGTTGTGGCCATATTTGCAGACTGGGCGGCCAATTTTTTTTCTTCTTCAGTAAAACAACAACTAAAAATGATGCTCAGTGTCGCGCAGCCCGAAGCATCTACCCAGCTGTTCGCTACAGTGATGGGAGATGTCGCTACAGTGATAGCAGCCACTCAGGAAGACACCTGTACAACTGGATCCGAATCGTTCAATGACACCAAAGAATATATTGAGGAAACGCAGCCTGAAGCCACCACCACCCAGCTGTATTCTACGATTGATAATGATAACGCCATACCAAATGTGAAAATAGTGTACAAATATGACTCTTTTCATGTCGTCGGACTTAAATATACACCTATTGGGGAGCTCACGGTGTGTATTTACAATACATATTGCACAAAATAGATGTTTTCATTGTTTGATTTCAGAAGGCTATGTTTCTATGCGATATTTTCAACTTCTGATGATTCTATATATTTTGTTTTTAAAAAAACACTTCGACCGATCTTGTAATTGATGCGGCATGTCGATTTCTGCCCTCAAAAGCTCATATTTCGGACCGGAACGGGCCGGGAAGGGTCACCTAGTATAAGCGCCGAATTTTTGGGATTTTTCAAAAATCATTTTTTGAACAGACCAAAATTCAAAAATGTGTCGGTGATTTTCTCTAGTCCTACTCATCCTATTTACGCAATTCCTGCTATCAAACGTTCGATTCGGATCACTGGTTCGGGTTCCATGCTCACCCAAAGTAGGGGTCATTTAGAGAATGATATATATAAATAGAGAATGTCATTAAATGCACCTGAGCAGTGAGCTGGCAGCCTGGCACCAACAAACCGAAACTATTTTTTTTAATTATGATGGAGCCAGGTAAGGTGGTTCAGGTTGACTGGTTGGCTTTGTGTTCAGTTTTGAAACAAATAGAAATGTGTTGTTTAATTAGATGGTCGAGATCGATACTCTTTATTTTAATAAACTAAGTAGTAGCTATTCGATATTGACTTCTATCGACTTCTACGTCCGCAAGTTCTCTGCTCCAACAGTCAGGGCTATCTATCTCTCAATATTTTTTTATTTTCAAAAATCGCAAACAGAAAAACGACTTCGATTTTTTATAAAAAGTGTATTCTCAAAAGTCAAATCACAATGATTCACCATGCACCTACGTTTCTCGCGCGTCATGACTCATTGTGTACGATGTAAATACAATGTAGTCTGTACATAAAATAAAGACGTTTACGACCTCCTAATATAATAATCTCATTTTTTTTTCTTTATAAATAGGCATGACTTATCGTAGAGTATAAATATGATAGAACCATTTGTTTGTACTCTAAGTTTTTATTGGTTCGTTTGTGATCTGTTTTACTTTTATACATGAAAATGAATCACAGTAGCAAGAACAAGAAAATCCCGAGACCGTCTTTTATTGAATTTTATTTGAGCCGATCTGTCCGACTCGTGTAAGCCATACAATACTCATCATTAAAGTCGAGTTACTCAACTGTCGAGCGTCGAGGGTCGACAGTCGAGAGTAACTGTTTTATTTTAGAAAGCTATGCTGAACGTTCGAAGTGTCGATTCACTGTCGAGAGAGAGTCGACACTCGACAGTCACTCGACACTGTTCCGCCACCCCCCCTCCTGTCTCCTGAAGACCTGACCCCACGCCACCCACGGCCTACTACTAGAGAGGTCCCCAGCAGATCCCCAGTAGAGCCCCAGTCCCGGACTATCAACCAGTTTGCGGCTTTACTACCATACTACATATATATTTAATTATTTATGTACACATATGCTTTTTTCCCTCTTCTTGTTGAGTTCTGACTCTTCCTTCTTCTCTCTCTTGTGCTGCGCGTGTGTGTGAACTTGAACTATTGTGAAAATAGTGAAGTACAGTACTGAAGTTCTGTGAACTGAAGAATTAACAGTTAGAGCTCTGGTCTCTGGAGATTGGAGTCTGGTCTGTATGTCTGTAAGTCTGTGACATAGTGACAGTGACAGTGACAGTGACAGTGACATTGACAGTGACAGTGACAGTGGTCACTGGTCACTCTGGGTCCTAGCCGCCGGCCCCTGGCCCCCTGGCCCTGGGCCCTAGGGACTAGGTCACTAGGGTCAGTGAAAGTGTGTGTTGTCACTTGTCAGTCGTCAGTCGTCTCTGTTTTATGATGGTATGACAGATGACACTTGACATAGTCACACACTCCGGTGACAGTATGCGTGAGAGAGTGTGACTGGGACTCTGTGGCGTGTGGAACTGTGGACCGCTGGGAGACTGTGAGTGTGAGTGGGTGAGACTGGTCAGTGGTCAGTCACAGTCTGTCATTACTGTGACTGTGTGTTACTCAGTTGACAGTTGTTATTTTTTGCTTTCTATTATTATTTCCAGGGCACAAGAAGTTCTTCTTTTTTCCTTTTTGTTTTGCTTTTTTTATTTTGTTTTAAAAACAACAAACATTTTAGCATAGGACGGGGAGAACGAGCCAATTGATAACACGGAGTTTGAACTTCGAACTTTTTGAATGAGTGTTTGTTTTTTATGAGCAACGAGCAATGAGAATTGAGCACTGAGCATCTCCGAGACCCACACACATTGCCCGGTGCCCCACACTCCAAGACTCCAGGAGTCCATACTCTCCAGAGAGAGGGAGAGTCATTGAGTCAGAGAGGTCAAGGACTCAAGGCTCAGGAGTCCTGGAGTCCACGACTGGTGAGTGTGAGACTGTGAGTGTCACTGAGTGTGGAGTTGTGGACTGTGATGTAGACTGTGGACTGTGGACTGTGGACTGTGGAGCCCACAGCCTCACTCCCTGTCTAAGGCTCCAGAGGACAGTTGCCACTCTCGCCATAAGCCATTGTGATTGGGTCCACGGGCGCGGTCTGTAAAACACTAAAACTAGATATAATACTATAAATACCTGTGTAGCCTGTATCTCTGTGCCCTAAAAGGCTACAGTGGTCTGTATTTACTATCATCACTGTATCACTGTGTCACTGTGTCACTGTGACGGCTGACGACGTGTGGAGAGTTGGAGACTGTAGTGTAGTGTGAAAGTGTAGTCTGTACTCTGTAGATTGTCGTAGAGACTAAACACATAAATAAATAGACTGAAGAGTGTAGACAGTAAACTATAGACTGTAGACTGTAGACTGTAGTCTGTAGACTGTAGTGGAGACTGATACACATAAAAAAGAGGAGACCAGAGTGTAGACAGTAAAATGTAGACTGCAGACTGTAGATTGCAGTCTGTAGTCTGTAGACTGTAGTAGAGACCTCAACACATAAAAAGTAGGAGACTGTAGTGTAAACAGTAGACTGCAGACTGTAGACTGTAGACTGTAGACTGTAGACTGTAGTCTGTAGTCTGTAGACTGTAGTAGAGACTTGAACATAAAAAATAGGAGTCTGTAGAGTGTAGACAGTCGACTGTAGAGTGTAAGAGTGTAGCCTGGCAGTGTAGAACTTTAGACAGTGTAGAGTTGTCTATCTCCCCAGAGTAGAGTGTAGATGGAACATATTGCTCTTTATAATTTCGCGGGACACGACTAGTCGACTTCCTCGACTACTATTCAGTAATCACTGACGTCACTATCGCGAGTTGACGACTGACGAGACTTCAGCCACATTGTCATTTAGTCCAGTAAAGGAGTAAATAAATATGTAGACGACTTGACGACTTGACGACTCATGAGTGAGCGACGACTTCGCGACTGACGGTCTGACCGTCTGACCCCTTCAAGCCTTCTCTTGAGTCCCTCTTGGGTTGACGAGACTCGACGACTGAATTTGTGTATTTTATTTTTATTTTTATATAAAAATCTTACAAACATAACACAACATAGTATATTTGGTGCGCATAAAATAGTTTGTGTTGTTTTTGTTTTTTTTATACAAAACAACACACAAAATCAAAACGACAAGGTCTGGCCTTAGAATTATACAATAAAACGAGCAGTTCGTGCCAGTTATTTATTCAGTTTTACAATTAAAAATTCACATACACTTATAAAGTTTTTATCATAATCCCAACTAAAGAATCCGAACATGAAGTTGACCAAGAGCTGTGAGTTACAAGTCAACAATGATGTGGATTATTGCAGAGCAGAAATAACAACGACAGACACGACTTCCCCCACAGCATTCTGTTTCGATTTTGGCGTGGACGAAAGTTCTGCTGGGTATGCCTCGGCAGTCGTCGATAATAAGAGTATGACATCAATTGTGCGGGACATAATTGAGGAGACGATGTCGGATGACAGCAAACGGAAGTCAGAATCTCATGAAAGGCAGAATTGGAAAGTGAAGCGCAAATCCCAAAAAGAGTCCAGACCGCAACAGATGATGCACTGTTGCGAAACTCTCGCCTTCAGCACACAAGGTGTATTCAACATGGGTTCTATCGAGAAGTTCAAGTTGAACAGACAGTCAACATTACCACAATCCCTTCCAACAGATGATATTCTTCAAAAAGTGCAAAGATCAAAAAGGTTATCGCTGAGAAAATTTATGTTTAAACATTTGACGGATCGAAAAGATAAATACAGTTATAAGTACGAAGAAGGTTCATCGCACGACCTTGTGACGGAAGTACCCCTCAAAGGTTCATCTCACAACGTTTTAACGCTCAAAGGTTCATCTCACAACGTTTTAACGCTCAAAGGATGTTGATGTATAAAATTAGTTTCTATAATGAGACAACGAACGATCATTGTCTTTCATAAATAAAAATCGTATTGCAATTTCGTATCTCCTTAAAATTAACAATACATTATTCACACGACAAGTTTCTTTTCGGATAATTTGTAACATACAGTGCTATTCACCACATCTACTTTAGCATAGCACGATCTGTCCCGTCATATTGCAAATCGGTTAGGATTGAGAAATTATAATCTATCCTTCGCATAAAATTGCCAATCACAGTTGATTTTCAGTCAGCCTAAAAGTTCGGGCTGTATATTGTTGTGAACTTCAAAGTTCAAAGCAAGCTACGTATAGATTTCCCAGTCAGTGCACTATTGTACTCCTGAACATTACTTTGAGAATATTATTTCTTTGGAATAATCTTGTGCGCGATGAATAGGAATTTCCATATAGTAAAAGAGTGCTAGTCATACTTCTTCTGCAAGACATCCCAGATTTTCACGATTTCGTTTGGGTTAGAAGCCTTGTAGTTTCTATCGCCAAGTCAATTCTACGCGTCTGTAACATCCTGAGTCTCCTCTCCAAGTTTTCAACCGTCCTCACAAACAACACGGTATTCGAGTACAGTCACACAGTGCAGTTTAGTGTTTGTAAGTACAAATATTCAAATAGAGGTTTTGTTATATAACTCATCCGTCTGTAGTCACTATTCCCATCTTTCATCCGTCTATTCTATTCATAGCCTTCTTGCTTGTTTTTCAGTATGTACATAGGTTATTGGTGTTTAAAAAAACCCCCCAACTCATCAGTCTCTAGTCTTTACTCTCATGTGTGTGCGCACGGACCACTCTCTCTCTCTCTCTCTCTCTCTGAAGTCTGGGGTCACTGGTGTGTGAAGCTACATATCCCACCAAATCGAACATAGAGGACTAAGGAAGCTACTATGTAGTATGTACAGCATATATGTATATATATAGGGTTTTAATAGGGTTCATCAAAGGCTGGAAATCTACCGCTATTTTATATGTATTTACATAAATATCACCCAAACAGGTCGATGCCAAAAAAAAGTTCGCAAGACAAAAAGTCGACTCACGTCGTATTACTTCTCAAAGAACCACTACAGTGATTATTGTTTGCATGTCAGAATGCAAGTTTTTCGATCGTTTAATAGTGCTGCTGGCTTATCTACCACTTTCAGAGTAAATGTTCGGAGTGCTACACAGCGACCGCGTTCTGGAAGATACGGCCTGAGGGAGTGCAAGGCAATTGTAAGTCAGGAGCCTACGTTGGCAAGATGAACGTGCAATTGTTGGAGAGCACAATGAATTAATATGTGGTATGGCATAGTCTAAGTATTACATACGATAGTGCAAATTGGAACACATGCTTGAGATTTATGGTTAAAATGTACACATATATCCCTATATCGGTTGTCCATTGTTTTTCTTCCACATTCAGATCTGTTTCTACGTTGTAAACTATTATATATATATGTGTGTGTGTGTGTGTGTGTATGTGTATGTGTGTGTGTATGTGTGTGTGTGTTT